CTTTCTCTCTCACATGTAGTTCTTTTTAATATAAGATAAGTCGGCTAACAATTGAAGGGAAGAATTTTCTCTCTCATATGTAGTGTTTTTAGGTATAATAAGAAGATGATAAGCCGACTAACAATTGAACGGAAGAATTTTCTCTCTCATATGTAGTGTTTTATGTATTAGTATCAGAAGACATGTAGTGCTTTTAAGTATAAGATAGGTTGACTAACAATTAAGCAGAATATTTTTCTCACTCATATGTAGTGCTTTTAGGTATAATAATAAAAAGAAGATAAGCTTGCAAATAATTCGGACTAATAATATTTTTCTCACTCATATTCAGTGCTTTTAGGAATATTCTTCTCACTCATATGTAGTGCTTTAGGTATAATATAAGCGGACTAATAATTGAGCGGGAGAATTTTCTCTCTCATATATACTGCTTTTAGGTATAAGAAGATAAGCGGACTAATAATTGAGCATGAAAATTTTCTCTCTCATACGTAGTGTTTTAGGTATATAAGATAATTAAGCGGACTAATAATTGAACAGGAGAATTTTCTCTCTCATATGTAGTGTGTTTAGATATAACAAGATAAATGGACTAATAATTGAGCGGGATAATTTCATCTCTCACACGTAGTGCTTTTAGGTCAAAGAAGATAAGCCGACTAAAATTTGAGCAGTAGAATTTTCAATCTCATATGTTTTACTTTTAGGTATAAGATAATTTTAGTGCTTTTATATTAGGTATGAGATAATTCGGCTAAAACAATTGAGTGGGAGAATTTTCTCTCTCATACAAAGTGATTTTAGGTATAAAGAAGATAAATCGGCTAAAACTTGAACAGGAGAATTTTCTCTCTCATACGTAGAAGTGATTTTGATTATAAGATAAGCTCATAAGCCGGCTAAAAATTGAGCGGATGAATTTTCTCTCTCATACATAGTGTTTTTTTAATTATAAGATAAGCCGACTAAAACAATTGAGCGGGAAAATTTTCTATCTCATACGTAGTGCTTTTAGGCATAATAAAGAAGATTAGGTATGAGAAGTACATGTATATAATAAGTCGGCTTAAACAATTGACCGAGAAAATTCTCTCTCTCATATGTAATGGTTTTAGGTATAATAATAAGATAAGATAAACAAATTAATAATTGATCGAGAGAATTTTATCGCATATTTTTTCTCTCATGACCTTTTAAACTTATGAGAAGATATTTTCTATAATTATCACCAATGTTATGACAATCAATAAAGTAACGAGCTCTACCACTGCAAAAAGATAAAATATTCCTACCTAGACGTATTTTAGTCATGTAAAATTTATATGTGGCGTTATAGAGAGAGTTCAGAAGACATGTATTAATGGTTTTAGTACAAGGTACATGATAAGAAAAGAAAAGCACAAGTCATTACTGCTATAAGTTCTCTTAAGGTAGTTTTTCAAAACTCTAACAATTAAGTTTAATATTTCACTCTGTTACCAACATCACTAATCATTATTACGTAGTAAATTTTAATGGATGATGTCGTTTTCGTTATATTTTAATTTTCTTTTACTTTAAATATTTGTTGTATGGATTTATGTTTTTTTATATTCACTTATCATACTCCATTTTTGAAATGAAGTAAATTGTAAGAAAAAAAACATATTTTTATATTTAATTAGATCATGAATAAAAGTATATGTAGATTAACCGTTTTTCCCGTGCGTATGCACGAGTACTGTGCTGGTTCATCTTAAAAGATCAGTCCAATAGAAGAATAGCCTGATACTTATACTTATAATTCACTGGTTAATATTTTGAGTATGTGAAATGGTAGCTCGATATCATTTGTTTGATATCTCTGTGGTATATTTCAACAGCGAGGCAGAAACTATTAATGATATTGTCTTATTTGCATCTTCTTTGATAATCTTCTCTCTTTGATATCATCATATAATTAACTGTGCACCATCATGTTATAATATCATCGTAGAAAAATATCTGGTATACGTGGTGCTCAAATATATGGGTTTTAATTTACAAAAAAGTGCATTGAAGTACGGAGTATTACAAGAACAAAATTGATGGGATTGAATTTGGTAATATGGATTGCCGCAAAGGGCTTTTAAGCCAAATGATTGAATTAACGTATGAGAAGTACAGTTTTTGGTTTTAAAATAATCCTAATTAAAAAATTATTTATGGAACTAGGGTCAGGTTAAAATTATTTACCAAAACACTGTTGGAATAAACCCCAGTTAAACAAAGCCACCAATCGACTTGGCGACTTACGCTTAAACTCCAAACTCGCTACAAATGAGGTAGCGAATAGGAAATCACCCAAATAATTTTTTAGGGAAAAGGGGCTTATATTGTATAATAAGAATTCAAGCAAGATACAAAAGGACAAAAGGTCCTTTTCCGAACGTCTGCCCTCAAACATGATTGAGAGTCTATCACCTCCAAAAAATAATATAACTCGTTGATCTATATGGGCTTAATTGAGACAACGATGAACACAATAGACATTTTATCACTCAACCTGAACTCTAGAGTATGCTAGTGGAAATAAAGAAAACAATCAAAAAAACATTCAGTTCGAATCGAAAAATAGAAATAAGAGTAAGATAATTAAAATTAATCCAAACTTGAAACATTATCTTCCAAACCCTAACCACAAGATTCATCCACGACGGCGGTTCGAGAGGGGGACGGATTGCCAATACTGCATCTTCTTTCTCTCCTTTCTTCAAATTCATAATATTCTCTACTACTGAGCAATCGAAAGTGTTGGAGAAGCGTCCTGTAGCCAAGTGTCGCACGTACTATTTAACAATGGAGTCTAGAACAAAGTCTGCACGATGCGTGAGACCTGAAATTCTCTGGTTGCACGAGCCTAGAACGGCCGGCGGAAAACTAAACCTTACGCGAGGGAAAGACCGCACAAAAGCAGAAATTTCGCTCTCTCCTTTAGGATTGGAGATCACCCCAACTTAAAAAAATCTCCTCTTTTTTAAAATTGTTATGTCTTTTATTTTTATAATCGGATTTTCAAAAAAGGTATATCAAAAGTCATAAATTTTTATTCTTTCATATTGCACCAATATTCAATATATAAAAACAAAAATAATTATGAAGATGCGATGAGTAGATGTTTTTTAGGCTACAAACCTTTTTAAGTAGATCCATGTTCTAAAATTAAGATCTCGTAATTTTTTAGAGCCCGTTTGGTAACGCTAAAATTGACTTAATCGTCTGATTATGCTAAAATTTGTGAAATTCTTATTCAAGTGGCTAGATTAGCTGACTGTTGATTTATGAAAAGTTATATCTAAAATAATTTGTATTAATGAGATAAATAAATAATTATATAAATAAATAGTTTGTTGGGTTAATGGCCCGGCAAGGGGTGACCCATCAACCCCTAAGCCCCCCTAGACGAACGTCCCCCAAAGCCCTAGCCAATTGGGAGGACCTTCCCCCACCCGATGAACGTCCATGAGCCCTTAGCCCACTGGAGTGCCTTCTCCCAGACTGTGGCGAGGTTCGTCCCCTATGGGTCCAACCCACATCACACAGACTGCCAAGGCCCAATAGACATCTGCCCGGGTTGCACGTATCCCAGGGTAGCCAGATACCTTGGTCTAAAAGCGATACAAGACGCTCGGGACCTAGAACTTGGGGCCAGCAGAACCCAGAAGGCAAGCTCATGGGGACACTCATCGCCACCTCATGACGGGAAACCCGGATTTTGGCGGGAGGCGCATTTAATGTAGAAGGTTTGGTGGTTGGGATCCTAGCCATCCACAGCCCACCGCGTCATCATGTCAAACCATCCATTGGTGGTATAAATAGTAACATTTATTTCATTGTAAATAGTTAGCAACTTAACATTATAGCATTATAGCATTTGTATGAGCTCGTAGCATAGCAATTGTACCACAGGGCTTTGTAACGGTTGTGTTATATTGATACTTCATATTGAACCTCCTCTTGCTTGTTAATCACCTATTCACCAGAACATCCATTCGAAATCCTTAGATTACGTGTTGAGCCTACGGATTGAAGGAATAAACCTCAACATAGTTATTATTTTTGATTTTTTTGAAAGGAGTTATTATCTTTCATATGACATCAACATTATAATTTTTAAATTGTTGTAAAATTTTTATGTATAATTTGATTTTTATAAAAAGTATATCAAAATTCATATTTTTTATTATCTTTCATATGACATCAATATTAAATATATAAAATATAAATAAATTTGAAAATACGATGAGTGGAAGGTTTTACGGTCAATATTTTTATAAAATAGATCTATGCTCTAAAATTAAGATGTCATAATTATATAGATCAACTTCATGTTGTAATCAGGGAATATTTTATTTGTTGATACTAAAAGCTCGTTTGATGACCCTGTTTTTCAGTTTATCAGCTAACTTATTCATCAAACACATAACTTTTGATATCGGGCGTTGAGTTGTGTATTAATAAGAAAAAATAAGGTTAGAATTGTTTTGTTGAGTATATTGGCCAAACTTACTGTAAAGAACCATTTTAACTATTTTTTCATATAACTATTTTTATCTTGTTAATAAAAAAATATTTTAAATATAATTATTTTATAAATCAATAGAATCAATCAATCTACCTACTTCAATCAGGATTTCATAATTTTTTATAGAATCAACTGATTTGATCAATTTCAACGTTACCAAACAAGCTCTAGAAAATTACGAGATCTTAATTTTAGAACATAGATCTACATAAAAACCTTTGTGGGCTAGAAAACTTCTACATACCATATCTTCATAATTATTTTTATTTTTATATTCTTTTTATGAAAGCGTTTTTTTTTAAGTTTGGGTGGTTTCCTATTGGCTACCTCATCAGTTTTGATTAACTAGAGTTTATTCCAGCAATATATTCTGTAAAGAATTTTTTATTTAGCATTATTTTGGGGAGGAAACTCAGAAAACTAATTTGAAATAATGGAGTAAATGAAAACATCGAAAAACAATTCAAATTCTTGAGCCCTAAAAAACTCACTAAAAGGGACTCTCCACCTGTCATTTTCATTAAAAAAGTTACCATTCATATGTACACTAGGACAACATTGTTCATAATTAAAAAGCGACTCCTAGTCTCACAGGACGACAAAAATCCTAAGACTGCATTCTTCCAGCAGCTAACAGTTGCTTTCAAACACAATCTTAAGAGGCAATAGTTTACTATCAAGCCGCTTTATGCATACAAAAAACGTCAATATTACTAAGTTTCACCAACCAAAAACAAGATATTACACAGTAATTCTCAACTAAGACCATTTTGTGTTTATTTTCGCTTAACGGTGTAACTTATGCCGTTGAATTATTATAGGATAGCTCGGATTGATGATGCCGTTTCACACCTTCCAAATCAACCAGGACCGTCCGTGCAAACTCCACGACAGAGTTACTACCGATGGGCAAGGATCCATTCTCATTCAAGCATTAATGGGAGAGGCGGGTGGCCTTGGATACAAATCAACTTCTTTTCTAGATACTTCATTTTTTACGTTTGCCTGGTCAGTCGAGTCTTGAAGTTGTTCAAGTTCCTTAACCACTTCAACCATTCGCGGTCTGAATCTCGGTTCAGTTGAGAGGCATTTAACTGCGAGAAGTGCGGCTCTCAGTGCGGCAGTCAGCGAGTACTGACCAGCTATGCGTGGATCCATGACCCGTAGTATCTTACGCTTGTTTCCGAGGTAAGGCTTGGCCCATTCTATGAGGTTGTGCTCCCCATTTGGGCGGTTTTTGTCCATTGCTCGGCGGCCCGTCAGAATTTCAAGAAGCACAACACCGAAACTGTACACGTCGCTCCTCGTTGTCAAATGGCCTTCAACATAAGAGTGAAATGCCAGTTAGAAGGAAAGTGGCACACACCAAAATGCGAGGGTTATTACAACATACTCCACATGGATCACATTACCATATAAATACGGAGAATAGCATGCAAAATGAACTAAACAAAAGACCAAACTTGGGTGCGCCGGGCACACTCCCTAATCCCTGCCTAGGCCTATGCTTCCCTTGAATGCCTATGTTCTTTTATATTATGTAATAAATTATGGCAAATAGAAGTAAAACATAGGTCATGATGTATATCTAGAAGTATTCTTGTTTTGTGCTAAATACACCATACATTACCAACCGAAAAACTAGCTGTTGTTAATAGTGCTTTTAAAAATAAATGAGATGTTTTCAGAAAAAGAAAAGACAAGTCCTATTTATGAATTTTCCCTTCTTTTTTTCCTGAAAGTACTCTACCCACTCCCATGTCACACCCAAGCCCCTCTTAGTCGCCGCGCCACATGGCTAGGGTGGCTGAAAAAAAAAGTAATTCACACCTTTACGAAGCTTATGTAAAGATATTAATTTTCTTTAATTTTTAAAATCGGTTTAGGGTTCACTATATATTAAAATCAGCATCAGTTTCCTTTGGGGGTATGGGTGAGTTGGCCTTAGGCCTTCATATATGCCACCCTCTTATTGTATTTGCTTTTTTTAGAGAAAATGGGCCAAATAAGCTTTCTAATTATTAGCAATTCCACAACCATACCCCTGATCCAAAGATTACCCATTGAAGTACAATAATTGAGTCCCTTTTTACCTGCTGGTGTTGGTAAGGCGATAACTTTCTCGTGAGATGTTACTGGCACCATTAAGTAAAAAGGGCTCGGTAGCTTTATTTCAATGCATCAAGACATGTATTTATAAGGTCTTTCCTTGTTTTTCAGAGGCCTGATTGAATAATCACTAATAACTTGATAGCTTTTTATTTTTTCCCTCGTTTTATAGTTTTAATAAAGTGTTTTTTTTTTAAAAACAGCATCAGGTTTAGCAACTTAACAAATTCAGGGACACAGGCAAAATTCAACTCTTGTCACACTGGAACTTGATTTTCGCCTCACATTTTTATTGGATCTGTATACTGCAATGTGACAATCCATCTCCAAACGGTTTACACATCAATGCATCCAAGTTTATTCCATAAGTACTAAACAAAGAGAAGATGCATTTACCTGTCGCCATATACTCCGGAGCTGCATAGCCATATGTACCCATCACTCTCGTGGAGACATGACTCTTTCCGTCAATTGGCCCATCCTTTGCCAACCCAAAATCAGAAAGCTTTGCATTGTAATCCTGTCATTTCATTTCACAACGGAATATTTTTCGTTTAAAGAATAGAATCATCACAAGAAACTTTGCAACTCAAAAGTCAAGGTGTTGCATGTACCGTATCAATCAAAATGTTTGATGATTTGAAATCACGGTATATAACTTTAGCTTCTGGGCTGTGAAGATAAGCAAGTCCCTTCGCTGCACCTAGGGCAACCTTCATTCGAAGATTCCAAGATAGTGGTTGAAAGTATGAGCTCCCTGTCATTAAAAAAATACTAAACAGGTTACAAAGTGGTCATACATAAATCTCATTTGGCACATGTTATTTGACTAAAATGGCTGAATCTGCAAAACCTGTTTACGACAAGCAAGTAGAAAAACTACTTATTTTCCTTATTTTGGTGATAAGCAGAATAAGTCGAATAAGACTACCGACTAGGCCTTAATCTACTTTGAAAAATTGTTGGAATTTCAGAGGGCATAAAAGTTAAACAAAATTACTTCTAAATAGATGGTTTTCCAAACTTCCACGTGGCATAAATTCATACACCAGAAGCCTGTGCTCATCCTCCAAGCAATAGCCGATTAATTTCACGAGGTTAGGATGTGATAGCTGTCCGAGATAAGTAACTTCTGCCTGTTAAGCATGTACAAGGGAATAAACAATTAGCAGCCTGCCATAAAGATTAAGTATCCAACTTTATAAAATGATTCATATTTTACCCACCCACCGTATTAAACTTTATCACCTTTTAGTTACTTTCTTTCCATAATTCATATCTGGAGTAATGTCTAAATGGATTAAGTTGTCTTTGAACCATACGCTATTTAGTTTGTGTGTTGAAAAAAGGTTTGAATGGGGTAAAAATACCAAACCATGCTTTCTTCGGATTGCCTTGTGAATAAGTAATCTCATTTATTAAGAGACATTTATTCCATCATGGTTTCTTACAATAATCATTAAACGGTTGATGATTGAATGATCAAGTGCAAGAGTGCAAGACATTACATACCAACCACTCCTTATGACCTTGAAAACCATCTTGATTCAGTCGCTTGGCAGCAATAACCAAACCTGTTCCTGGCCTAGTTGCCCTAAAAGTGTTCTCATCAATCCATCCCTTGAAGACACACCCAAACCCACCCTCACCCAACACACTATCAGGACGGAAGTTTCGCGTGGCAATTCGTAGTTCACTGAAACTGAAACTTTTGAGATTAGTTGAGTCCAAAATCTCATTTTCACCCCTATGCATTAATGACACGGATGCAGATGAAACCCTGCTACTTAAACCTCCTTCTCCTGTTAACAAATCAACATAGAATAAATAACAGTTGTGTGAAGATAAATTCCAATATAGAGTTTTTAGTACAACTATAAATGGATGTGGATAACTATCTGCTAGCTGAAATTTGTATCCATGAACTGAATCTGGAAATTCTTGATTAAACGCCCATCATATAAACATTCTGAATCTGGAAACTCTTGATTAAGCGTCTAGAATTGTGTAGCAACTCCTAGCCAAATCACTACCAATAGATCCTTATTAGATCTTAAGTTACTAAGCTGCTATACAAGAATCCTTAGGCTTTGTTTGGTAGCCTAGACGTATTTTGCAGATTATCCAGAATATGGTTTGTTCTCAAGTAGAATATCCAGAATAAATAGCTTTAAGCTTAATTATTTGGGCTTTTTTTACTTGCTTATTCGGCTGAAACTGGTATAACTAAAGGCTTTTTCTTTAAAAAATCAGCCAGCCAATGAGCCAAAAAATTCTTACCGAAACTGGCTCTTAATATCTCAAAAGCACATTCCCCCCCAAAAAGACATGAAACCTAAAAAGGGAATAGCTTTTCTCCAAACCCACTTTAGGTAAATCAAGTAATAAAATGGAATCCAAGCACTGCATGCAAGTATTATTGCATTACAATAACAAAGTTGATGAGCGATCAGCTACAATAAAAAAGCTCCAATCGAAAAAAAATCAAGATATTTACCAGCATGAACAGGGCTCTCTGCCTTAACTCTTACACTGAAACAAGAACCCATATGTTAACCCCACCAAAGCTTCAGTCTTTTTCTTCTTCGTCTTCAAGAAAATGACTTTTCTTCTTCCTACCCCCTTTAAAATAGTGAAAGATCGAGTCTTTTCATCATAAAAGGAACAAAAATAAAAAATAAATATAAATATAAACACCCACAACTACCACGTAGACAGATCAAAACACAGTTGTGAACACTTGGCATGTAAATAATATAATACGGAGAATAATACGGAAAAGGGATAAATTTATTACTCTGTCTGAGTTGAAAATGGCTGTCACTTGTTTGAGTTTTGGGTTCACGAGAATCACTTGAGAAAGGCCAAAACCACCCGAAAGGGAAGTTTGACTTTTCCTCCTTGGCTCCCTCAGTGTACTGGACTTCTCCTTCTTCAACACGCTTATACTGTGTATATTTAACGGGCGCAGTGGGGGTAAAATCGGAAATAGGAAATGACCATATTGGCTTCTGTCGCTCCCTTATCTTCATCTTCTTGATGCTGGGCGGTTCATTTAAAGCAGTGATTTTTATTGTTTTAATAAATTAATTTAATGATGTGCAGAAACCGACAAGCTGCATTATGTTGCAGCGGTTCTCAGCCGTTAGATAATGAGCAGCATTTTAATTTATGAGAAAAGCGATTGAGCAAGAACATTGACTGTTTGGTGTAAATTGGCTCATTTTTTATCCAAATATAAGCTTTCTTTCATCTTATTTGAATCTTATGATATACGGAGTAAATCTTTTCAAATGTGTTTGCTCTCGTTTATTATTAAAATTTTCCGATTTGTTTGAATCTGATATGAATATATTCCAATTATTAAAAGATCTTATACAACTAGATTAAGAACAATTGATATCCGGATATGATTTAACAAAAAAGAATTATGGGAAAATAGGTCCCCGAACTTTCATAAAAAGATCAATTAAGTCCTTCAATATGAGGTTCTGTCCGGCCATCGCGATTTGAGGCAGTTTCCGGTGGAATTTTTTTATGAAATTTTTTGAGCATCTTACTCACCAAGTCTAGTTTACTCATACCAAATTTCAGCTAAAAATTCAATCAGGAACTCATTCAAATTAATTCTTGAATATAACTGCGCATTTTTGCGTTCTCGAATTAATTTGAATGCGCTCCCGATTTAATTTTTAGCTGACATTTGGTATGAGTAAACTACACTTGATGAATAAGATGCTCAAAAAATTTCATCAAAAATTTTCACCGGGAACCGCCCCAAATCGCGACGACCGGACAGAGTCTCCTATAGAAAGACTTAATTGACTTTTTTATGAAAGTTTGAGGACCTATTTGACAGTTTTCCCAAGAATTATTGACACAATAAATCACTAAATATGTTACATCAAATCTAATAAATACTACCTCGTCCCATAAAATTCTTCCACTTTAACTTGACACGGAGATTAAGAAAGTGAAATAAAGTGGAAATGTATGATTGTTATTGTGTAAGAAAAAAGTGAAATGAACGTGAACCACACCAAAAATGATAAGTGGGAAAGGTTTTTGGGACGGTCAAAAAAGGAAAGTGGGAAGAATTTTATGAGACGGATGGAGTATTTATTTAACTTCTATAACCACAATGTTTTGCTAAAAAATAGTTATGACCGATTGGATAATAGCTGTATACTATTCAGAAGTTCTTAAAACTTTCAAAATATGATGGCCTTTATACTTTTATACTGTTTTAGTATACATGTCCTAGCGACAATCACCTTTTAGAGATATATGTATTTGATTACATTCTGTCACACACCGGACCGCATTCGTGCCACGTAGACAACCGCCGTACAACCCAATAAGAACAACAACAGTTCATCCCTATTAAATTATACAAGGCGTCCGATAGATTCTATTGTCAAACCGATTAGTAAACACATAAAAACAACATCAATATCATAATTAAACAAATGCGAAAAATATAATATGTTTGATATTTAGTCACACGTGGCAAACACGAGCATGCAGGCTCCCAACTGTTTTAGAAGGAAAAAAAACATTGTTCAAATATCCATGAGCAAACACTTAGTTTCAATAAGGATGGAAGCACGAACCACGTCTTCCTTACTTGATGATCACCCTAGGCAAAGGCGCAGGAATATGACTCTAGCCTTAACCAGAAAAATGTGAGACCCCCGAAGGGGTCAGTACTCCATAGAAAGTACTAGTGACAAGCAGGCTATATGAGGAATAACTAATGTTTCAGACACGAGACCCAAAAATAGGGTGATACATATATATATAGATGTCTCTCATCCACCCGATGATACATACTGTATATATATACACTTTAACCCGTAGATCATTTACCTTAAAGAGTCTTTTAGAGATAAAGTTCTTACCTGACTTATCTCACTCCTTTCCCGGATACCTAGCTCATAAGCTATGTTGTATGTTCTACATTCATAATATCCTACCGAGTTTCAGGATCATTTACCGTCTCGGGGATGCTCAACCCCAACCGAGTTTCAGGGTCATTTACCGTCCCGGGGATACTCAATCCCAACCGAGTTTCAGGATCATTTACCGTCCCGGGGATAGTCAACCCCAACCTTATTCCTTACCAAACCCTAACCTGGATATGGCTAACCTTTCATTCCTTTAACTATGTACAATACCTAGCCCTATAGTCATATAATAATAATCCTTAACAATCAACGTGGACGATTCTCACCCGAACGCCCAACGTTATACTCATTCAAAATTGACCGTTTGGGTGTCAGACCCAATACCCGGTCGAGTACCTACCTATACCCGGTCGGGTATAGGAGGCAGTGGCCCCTGGTGCAAGTTTTCAACACATACCCGGTCGGGTACCTACCTATACCCGATCGGGTATAGGAGGCAGCGACCCCTGGGACAGGTTTCAGTACATACCCGGTCGGGTATTTGCCAATACCCGGTTGGGTACCACAGTTGACTTGGCGGTCAACGCTCGTTTGGCCGCCCAAACGGAATCCGATTAGCGTGAAATTTTACATGCAAGTATTCCTTGACGTCCTTAATCCAAATATACCTATTTGGGTCCTTGGAACATCATACATATCAATTTATAATAATTTCACTCATCGAACATATAAATCATGTTTTTCAACTATGTTATATTCCTTAACATGAGATAGCACATACTTTAATATCATTAATCCATTCATAAAGCATATACTTGATTAATTTAGGTAATCTCATGCCTCACGTAAAAGTTATAAAGCATAAAGCCGTCTTCTCACCTTAAACGAAGCTTTAATGCGTTCTACCCTTCTTGGTTAAACTCCGGTGAAACTCCGGTGAGTTTTTTTAAACTCCAGCGAAGTATTCCAACTCCTTGGAAATGCTAGGAACACCTTAGACAAGTTCCTAACAAGGTTTCATCATCATACAACCCATATTAATACAAATAACCTCTAAAAGGTTATTTTCCGGTGAACCGGTCGCTTTGGCTTCTAAGTCCGTTCTTGGACTTAGAACTACATTCCAACCCTTCTTTATACACTTCCAAACGTGTAGAACAACACTAGGGTGGATAACATATGATTATATAATCATAAGAGGAGATTAAGGAAATGGAATGTGGTTAATGGAGCAATTACCTTGAGCACCTCAAGTTTTCCTTCCCAAAGTCAACTTTTCTCTTCTCTTTTCCTCTCCTTCTTCATCCTTAGCTCAAGTGCGTAAATGGTGGATGAACATTGAGTGTTTTCAGAGCTTATCTCTCTTCTTTGAATGGGTTGGCCGAGCCTATCAGTTGGAGGTGATTGAGAATGCCCTTTTTGGCATTTCTCATAATAATGTGAGAGATGAGGGCCCCTTTTCCTTTTCAATCTATCCCCCAATCAATCCTCCTCTCATCACATGGATTTTAGTTCGGCTCCCCATCCCTCTTGCAAGACTAAAACGTGGGTTGGCCCCCACTTATGTGGGAGGTCAACCCTTTGTGTCCCCGAGTGTACAATCGGTCCCGAAAGTTGTATTTTCCGGACTGTTCTAATTACATTTTATTTTATCGGGTCAAATAAAATATAACGCATATTCCCCATCTTTATTGGAACTTTGGATGAATATATGTTCCCCAACTTAATTTAAAGGTCTCCGAAATTCCTTTTCGGGCTGTTAACAGATAAATTGCCGATACTGATAATTGGACCTCGTTTGACCAACCGGTCAGCCCTATGTTTTTGTCACGACCCAACATGGGTGTCCAACATCATATAAATATCATCTATGCCCAGATTAATATATTATGTGGTCCCGATAATATCAGGCGGCCCTCGCTTCCGGTGTGGGCCCCACATGAATTTTACTATTCACGTAAAAGAAATGATAAAAATTTACAATCACGTAAAATGCATTTATTCATTTCTTAGGGTTCAATACGCAATTTGATAAAGTAAAAATACTTGGGGGCGGTGTTACAAGTTCTACCTCCTTATTTGGTATTTCGTCCCCGAAATCCACGTGTCTAGTCAAACAGAAATGGATATTGTTCCCTCATCACGGTCTCCACTTCCCAAGTTTGCTCCTTGACGTGATCACTCTTCCAAAGTACTTTTACCATCGGCACCTCTTTGCTCCTTAGCTTCTTTACCTGTCGGTCTATGATCTTTATCGGTTGCACCGTATAGTGTAGGTCTTCTCAGATTTCTACCGGTGGTTTCTCCAGGATATGTGACGGGTCCCGTACATATTTCTTAAGCATAGAAACATGAAATACATTATGAATCTTTTCCAACTCCGGGGTCAACTGGAGTCAGTATGCTACGACCCCAATTCTTTCAATGATTTTGAATGGACCTATGTAACGTGGGTTAAGCTTACCTCGACTGAGGAACCTGATGATCCCTTTCCAAGGTGACACCCTCAGAAATACCTCATCACCGACCTCAAACTCCAATGCCCTCCGACGTTTATCATCATAGCTTTTCTACCGGTCTTGGGCAGCCTTAAGCCTATCCTGAATAACCTTCACCTTCTCCTTAGTGACCTCAACTAGCTCGGTGCCCTCAAGTTTGGCCTCCCCGACCTCATCCCAGCACAAAGGTGTCCGACATTTCCTCCCATACAACGCTTCGTATGGAGGCATGCCTATACTCGCCTGATAACTGTTGTTATAGGCGAATTCCACCAAAGCCAACTGATTGTCCCAGCTCCCCTGGAACTCCAAGGCACATGCTCTCAACATGTCCTCTAAAATCCGAATCACACGTTCAGATTGCCCATCCGTTTGAGGATGAAAAGCGGTGCTAAACTTCAACTTCATACCCATGGATTCCTGAAACTTAGGCCAAAACCGTGATGTGAACCGTGGGTCTCTATTCGATACTATAAAAACCGGAACCCCATGCAATCTCACAATTTCATTCGTGTACAACTTGGCCAGTCGTTCAAGCGTATAGGTAGTGTTGATAGGGAGAAAATGAGCACTTTTGGTCAGTCTATCAACTACTATCCAACTTTTGGTCAATCTCACT